CTTTGGAAAAGCAATGGATTGGCTGAGTTCATCAACACTAATTATTTCAGCCAAAAAACTGGAGCTAAACTAGAGAGAATGAAGAGCTGAAAGTAAATCGCGTTTTTTAAGTATGGCAGCACTGCCCCGCTCACCTAGATGTCTAGGGCCCTACAGGATTAGGAATACACATCTGTGTTCATAACACTATAATGTTCGTTTTAGCTCCTGGCACCATAACAACTACAGCATGCTGCACTGGTCATGGGGCTTAGAGTGCTTCTTTAATGTGGTCAGTTGCCTGGAGTCTGATGAATCTATTGAAATAGCATAGGAAGCAAATTTGGGGTCTCAACCACTGATCTAAAGTTTGTTTTCTATTGGTAGAAAGCACTGTTCCTGGCCCTTTTTTGGTCCTCGTAAATATAGCTTTATTATTATTATGTTTTAATTTTTTTCAAATTTATGTTTAATTGTTTTAAATAAAATAAATCAGGATACAGAAGAGAAATAGGGAGTTGGTTATGGAGGGTAACACATATCATCCAAATAGCATGAACGGTAATCTGGTAATACAGCAAGGGAAAAAGATTAATCAATCAACTTTTTTCATCATCCCATCAACATTCGATTATGTTTAGAAGTGAGTAACTTCTCAATTACCTCTGCTGCACCTATTTTTTATCATTGTGATAGTGCCAAGCACCGACAGTCACCTAGCTAGGGGATCCCCAGATGTGTGAAGGCGTGAGTGTTAACAGGCCGTGCGAAGCTATGTTACGTCTTCTGTCGTACATGTCTATCGGTGACCTGGATGGTCCCCAAACCTGGGATTTGAAAACTGGAAGAGAGGAAGGGAAAGGAAAAAAGAAATGAGGAGGGGGGAATCTAGAAGTATGTTTTGTGCTTGTGCTGTATTGACATATGCCCGTAGTCAATTTAAGGAGGAAGAGGGGGGACCCTGGAGGGTTACACTAAGCAGTGTCTACTGGGCCGGGGATGGGCAACGGTTTTGCCCCTACCCGCCCCCTCCCAAACTCCTCCTCCCACCTTCTCCAAGTGTCGGTGAACTCCTGCATCCTTTGGGATGACGTGAGTGCCATCTTTTCATATGTGTGAAACCGGTCTAGTTTATCAAGTAACTGGGGCAGGGAAGGGCAATCTCGAGATTTCCAGTGCAGTGCTATGAGGTTTCTCGCAGCCAATAGGACCAGTGCTGTGACCTGCTTCTGACCTGGGGTCAGACATGCAGGGAGCAGTAGTAGTAGGCAGGTAGTCGCTGTCAGTGTGAATTTAGGGATGCCTAGCGTGTCCAGGACAGAGCGTACTGAGGTCCAGAGGGGCTGAACATCTCTGCAGGACCACCACAAGTGTATCAATGTGCCTGTGGTCAAGGTACACCTCCAACAGGTCGGGGATAAGGAGGGGAACATATGCTGGAGCCTCTGCGGGGTCATGTACCAACGGTACAGGAGTTTCCTATGGGCTTCGATGTGGGAAAAACACCTTGTCCACTTGGACAAGTCATTGAGGGCATGAAGCCAGTCTGCATCTGTCCCCACTGGGCCTTATGTGGATGTGGTTTACTCGATGAAAGCACTTGCCAGGATTTGTAGCATATGGTAAGTGATTATTATTTTTTTAAATGTGTCTAGCATATGTTTGTGTTTTAATAAACTGCCTATTTTATCGGCACATTACATCTCTATAGAAATGCTCCTTGCTGTAAATTTTGATTGCAGAACTGACTTACTAAGAGGCCCTTCAAGCTTCACAAAGCACTGAAAGAGATAGCAAACTGTGCTTTTCCACCTGATAGCAACGATCCAAAGTTTTAAAATGCAGAGACCACCAAACAGACCACCACAACCTGCTTCAAATTCAAAGAAAATACAATTTTAAATGTTTTACTGCAACTGAAACTCACAGATGTATATAACAGCATTCCTCGGGGGAAAAATAATTTGAATATTTTTACATGTTCTCACAAGGATGAGTGGAAATTCCCCAAAATTCAAGATCGGAAAAAAAATATAAAAAAAAATTATAATTTGTGGTTTTCCTGTGTCAGTTAAAGTATAATTACAGGTAAAAGAGCTGTAGGGAATAGAGAGGGTTTTGATATTGGACATTAAATTGTACTGTGTTTATACACATAAGGATTTATTTTTATTTTTCTTGCTACACAAGTACAATTATTTATATAGTGCAGTTTCGTATAGTTTTTATATAGCGCAGTTCCGTATAGTTTTTATATAGTGCAGTTTCGTATAGTTTTTATATAGCGCAGTTCCGTATAGTTTTTATATAGTGCAGTTCCGTATAGTTTTTATATAGTGCAGTTTCGCCATATTCCGTAGAGCTTTACAATTGGTAAAATAAGATAATAATTTGTTCAGATACATGCACGGGACTAATCTCTATAACACTCCATTTCCTCTGTCAGAACATCACCTCTTTTGTTTTTGATTTTCCCCTAACCCAACATTCTCAGCCTAACCTTCCTCAACTTAGGAGAAACCTGTCTTGTCTTGACCTCCAGCGACTGTCAGCTGATGTTCATTCTCAACTCACATCCATCCCTACCTTCTCCTGCCCCTCTCTCCTCATATAACACTACCCTAACCTCTGCCCTGGACGCTGCAGCCCAGCTCAAAACATACACCTCAGTGAGCACTTCCGGTCAGTCCGGCCCGGTACAGGAAACAGAAGCTCTTGTACCACAGTCCGCGTCGCCCGGCCACGCTACAAAGCTGGGTAGGAGGCACAACAGGGAGGGGGGAATAACACTAAGGGGGCAGAGCAGGGGGAGAGGGAGGACCACCAAAGGGGGGGGAGAAGGAGAGGGAGGACCACTATGGGGGTCGGAGGAGAGGAGGAAAGGGTGGATCACTAAGAGGAGGGAGGGACCACTAAGGAGGAGGGGAGGACACAGGACCACTAAGAGGGGGGGAGGGAGGACCACTTAGGAGTTGGGGGAGATTGAGGACCACTAAGAGGGGGGGGAGATGGAGGACCACTAAGAGGGGGGGAGACCACTAAGGGACAGGGAGGGGAGTGGAACACTGAAGGATAGAAAAGAGAGGGAGAAACCACTAAGGGGCAGGGGACAGAGAGATCTCTAAGGACAGAGGGGACATCTCTAAGGGAGGGGAGGGGAAGAGAGAGCCAGGGCCGGCATTAGGGGTGTGCGAGCTGTGCGGCCGCACAGGGCGCCATGGATCAGGGGGCACCATGTGGCCGACACAGCTCGCACATGGCCGGTGTCAGGGGAGCTAAAACAGGTACCCGGGTGGAGGATTAATTATTCTCCACCCGGGTCTAATCAAAAAAAAAAAATTAAATCGAGGCAGCGGGGCGGGGCTTAACACGTGGTGGGGGCGGGGCTTAGTGTGAGGCGGAGGCGGTGCTAATACCTTCCCACTGCTGCACAGAAAGAAGGAACTAAACCCTGCTTCTCCAACAACCAACTGCATCCACTGGAAAGAGGTAAGTGTGTGTGTGTAACTGCCTGTTTGTGTGACTGCCTGTCTGTGTGTGTGTCTCTCTCTGTGTGACTGACTGCCTGTCTGCCTGGGTGTGTGACTGCCTGCCTGTGTGTGACTGTCTGTGTGTGTGTGTGTGTATGTGTGTGTGACTGCCTGCCTGTGTGTGAGACTGTCTGTGTGTGTGACTGCCTGCATGTGTGTGTGACTGCCTGCCTGTGTGTGACTGTCTGTCTGTGTGACTGCCTGCCTGTGTTTTACTGTCTGTCTGTGTGTGTGACTGTGACTGCCTGCCTGTGTGTGTGTATGTGTGTGTGTGTGACTGTCTGTCTGTGGAACTGTCTGCCTGCCTGCCTGTGCGTGTGTGTGACTGTCTGTCTGTGTGAATGCCTGCCTGTGTGTGTGTATGTGTGACTGCCTGCCTGTGTGGGTGACTGTCTGTCTCTGTGTGTGTGTGACTGCCTGCCTGTGTGACTGTCTGTCTGTGTGACTGTGACTGCCTGTATGTGTGACTGCTTGCCTGTGTGTGACTATCTGTCTGTGTGTGTGTGTGTGTGTGTGACTGCCTGCCTGTGTGTGTGACTGTCTGTGTGACTGCCTGCCTGCCTGTGTGTGACTGCCTGCCCTCTTATCCCCCCTCCCTCTCATCACCCCCTCCCTCTCATCATCACCCCCTCCCTCTCATCATCACCCCCCTCCCTATCATCACCCCCTCTCCCTCACACATCACACCCCCTCTCCCTCTCACATCCCCCTCTCATCATCACCCCCATCCCTCACACATCACATCACCCCCTCTCATCATCACCCCCTCTCACATCAACCCCCCTCACATCACCCCCCTCAAACCATCACCCCCTCCTCCTCATCATCACCCCCTCCCTCTCATCATCACCCCCCATTTCATCATCACCCTCCTCATGCCCCCTCCCTCTGTCACCCCCTTTCTCATCATCACCTCTCTCCTCACACATGCCCCTCTTATCATCACCCCCTCTCCCTCTCCCCCCTCTCATATCACCCTCCTCAAATCCCAGCTCATCATCACCCCTCTCTCTCACACCATCACCCCCCCTCTCCCTCTCACATCACCCCCCTCTCATAATCACCCCCTCCTCACATCACCCCTCTTCCTCTCACATCCCCCCCTATCCTCTTACCATCACCCCCTTCCCTCACACCATCACCCCTCCCTCTCATCATCCCACATTCATAATCACCCCCTCTCCCTCTCACATCACCCCCTCTCATCATCACCCCTCTCCCATCACCCCACTCATAATCACCCCCTCTCACCCCCTCTCCCTCTCACATCACCCCTATCCTCTCATCACCCCCTTCCTCTCACCATACCCCCCTCTCTCCCTGACACCATCACCCCCCACTGCCTTACACCATCACCCCCTCCATCACATCATTATCCACTATACAAGCACACACACTGCATCCACTACACAAACACACACTGCATTCACTATACAAAACACACTACAAACACACACAGACACACACTTATACATGTGTGTCTGTGTATCTGTTTGTGTGTTGGTATATGTGTATCTGTATGTGTCAGTGTGTATCTGTTTGTGTGTCTGTGTTTGTATCAGTGTGTCTGTATGTGTGTGTCTCTATCTGTATGTGTGTCTGTGCCTGTGTGTTTGTATGTGTGCATGTCAGTGTTTGTCTGTATCTGTGTATGACTGTGTTTCTATGTAACTACATGTGTGTATCTATGTGTCTGTGTATATGTGAGTGTATGTGCATACATCTCAGCATTTCACCTATACTGCACACAAATACAACCCTGCATCCAAATGTCAACACTACATAAAAAAACACCAACATATTTATTCAAAAATGCCACTACAGAGAAATGCACACTTGCATTCAAATGCCAATATGTGCAAACACACCCGTACATTCACTCACACATACTCCATATAAAAACATGCTTACATTCAAACACACAAACACTGCTCGGTGCTAAATACATTAAAAGAATTGCGGGTGTTTTTAAATTTTTTTAGCTTGGGCAAATATTAGATCCGCCCCGGGTGCCAAATGCTCCAGGTACGCCCCTGCATCCCCTACACACATACACTCCCCTCCCTGTGAGCAAACTCATGGGTGGGTCATGTAGGTGGACTTAAGGGTGGGCCTTGTAGGCACACTCACAGTCAGGCCCTGACCTTAAGCTGTGTAAGGGGCCCCAAAAAATGGAGCTGCTTCCTGTTCATTAATTGTTGTGACCAGTGTTACAAACAGCCTCCAGAAAGCCTCCTCTACACCAGACCAGTGGAGACAGACTGCAACCTGAGCCCATCTTCATCCTCTTGTCCTCATCTGGTGGTAAGTAGGCAATCCAGTATATTATTAGTGGCACTAATCTCTAATTTACCTCACATTAAATGGATACTATAGTCACCAGAAGCACTACAGCTTAATGTAGTGGTTATGGTGTATATAGCCTGTGCCTGCAGGCTTTTTAATGTAAACACACTGCCTTTTCAGATAAAAGACACTGTGTGCAGCACTGGCGTTGGCCCATATGGCAGATCATATGGGTGGGGCATTGTGGTGTCACTTGGTGGGCAGAGCAAATGGGGGGGCGGCCCTGGCTGCATATGTACTCCCATAGGTACATTGACATTGTGGCAGGCTTCAGCAATGTATACTGTAACTAATATCTCATTATTTTTTTCTAGTTGCGTTTTAAAAAAAATAAAACTATTACATTCTGTGAGCCTTGAAATTACTGTTGGATACCGCTGGATCTTGTATGTTTTAGGAAAGTACAAGTTAGTTTTGTTATCCTTGTAGCAAATATATTTAATGGGTTTTTTTTGCTACAAAGATAACAAAACCATAGTTATAGTTTGGCCTGTATTATCAGACATATACAGGAAATATAACATTTACCATAACCTGTAGTCAGCAAAGTGCCAGGAACGTTTGTGTTTAACCCCCTTCATGTCAAGGGGGTAAGACAAATCCCGTTCTATCATGACAGCAATTCATCTGTCATCAAATCTTACAATCTTACAATTACAATTATTGACATCGCGCCAAAATATTCAGCAGCCCTGAAGTCATGAAGGGGTTAAAATACAAGACTGGTCATAACAATGCATTACAGTTTACATTGTGCACAAAAAAATAAACAAAATGAAAATCTACATACCCATATCAGATTATGGGATCTGCGAATGCAGAAAAAAATAAATATCCACGCCAACACATAACAATTTCTGATTACCATCAGGTCAAGAAGTGCAGTAAATGTCAGTAAACTATCTAAAATATCCTGTGTAGTGAGCTTGTTAAAAATAAATAGACGGGGAACAAGCTCCACGAAGACTCATTAGCAGCAACCATAACCATCCTCCCCAAGCCGGGAAAAGACCCGGAACTCTGCAGTAGCTACAGGCCCATTTCCCTTCTAAACGTCGATATTAAATTATTCACAAAAGTCCTGTCGAGCCGACTCAATACATTCCTCCCTAGACTGGTACATCCAGACCAAACAGGCTTTGTCCCAGGCAGGGAAGCCCGCGATAGTACGCTACGGGCCTTATCCATCCAGCACCTAGCCAAACGCTCTGGAGCCCAACTGTTCTTCCTCTTCACCGACTCTGAAAAAGCCTTCGACAGGGTGGATTGGACCTACTACTCGAAGCCATATGGAATAACAGACACATAAGAGGATTCCACTCCAACGGGACGACGCATAAAACAGCAGCATACGTGGATGACATGCTATTCTTTGTCTCCCAACCCAGAACCTCCCTCCCTTGTCTCCTAAGAGAATTCACAACCTACGGTCACATTTCCGGTCTTAAATTAAATTTATCAAAATGCGAGGTCCTCAACATAACGATACCCAGCGAAGAGAACATCCGACTACGCGCACAATTCTAATTTCATTGGTGCGAGTTCAGGATGAAATACCTCGGAATCTGGCTCACGAAGAACCCACAAGACCTATACTCATCGAACTACATACCACTCCTCACCAAAATAAAGCACGATCTACGCGAATGGAACTCCCAACACATATCGTGGCTAGGGCGCATCGCGGTTGTGAAAATGAACATACTACCCCGACTGCTTTACCTGTTCCAAACGCTACCAATGACGATACCTGCGGCGTACTTCTCCTCCCTCAGATCAGCGACAATCCAATATATCTGGAGGGGCCAAAGACCCAGAATAAAACACGACACGCTGTGCCTACCTCGACACTGGGGCGGCCTTGCGCTACCCGACGTGAAAAAATACCACCAAGCCACCGTGCTGCAACGCATCCTGGAATGGCACTCGCGACCACCCCATAAACAGTGGGTCCCGCTAATGGAGGCCGGAGGCACTGTATCCATACCAGAGGCGGTCTGGGCAACCAAGACCGCACCACCGCCGGAGCCGGACAGGACGTCACCGACTGCACACACTCTGCACATGTGGAATAGCCAACGACGGGCGCACCACATCTCCCTGACCCCAAGCCCAATGATCCACCTCACCAGCAACCATTCTGTGGGGGGAGGCCTCACCGCCAGAGCATGGGGAATATTGGGAGACCAAGAGTACATACCAATCCACAACGTCCTGAACGACACCGGCCTAAAACCACTCACTGAACTCACCAATACCCAAACCCCATCCTTCCAGCAATCCTTCAGATATGCACAATTGCGACATTTCTATAACTCACTCCGTGACAGAGCAGGACCTTAACGTCCTTCGAGAACCTATGCCTCACCAAAACGAATATCAATAAAGCCATCACCTACCTATACCAATACATCCTCACGGGAGACCGCACGGAAATACTTACATTCAAGAGTCAATGGGAACACATCACAGACCACGTATTCACATCAAACCAGTGGGCAAAGATACTAATCCTACACCATAAATCCTCAGTGAGCTCCCGATACCAAGAAGTCAACTACAAACTCCTATCCCAGTGGTACAAAATACCATCACGCCTACACAAGATATTCCCCAGCATTCCGGACACATGCTGGAGATGCGGACAGGAAGAGGGCACTCTGAGACACATTTGGTGGGACTGCCCAAACATAAAACCTTTCTGGAACCAGGTCAGCGACAAAATCGCAGAGATTCTAGGGGAAAGGCTCCCCCTGAATATGGAGCAATACCTGCTACACTCGACACCAAGGCCAATCTCACAATACAAAAAATCCATACTGCGACACCTGCTGGACGCGGCCAAGGCACTCATCCCCGCAATGTGGAAACAGACGCAGGCCCCGACACTAACCCAATGGTGCGATAGAGTGGAGGAGATCCATTCCACTGAGAATGTAAGGGCATCCCTCATGGGACAGAGTGACAAATACACTGAGCGGTGGGGCCCGTGGTTGGGGTTTGTTGCTGGGAGGCACAGGAGAGACGACTCGACCCCGTGCGCCGACCGGGTGTGTGCGGGCGGGGGGCGGCAGGGGGGCGTGTGCTGCCGCTGGACGATATGACAATCACGGAGCAGTCAGCCACTTAACCGACGGGGGTAAAGGGATCAAGCCCGACTCCGAAACCACTGGACATGAACAAGGGACGACACCCGACCCACTGTCGGAACCGGGGGAAATACGGGGAGACGGGGGATAAAGGGTTCAACACATAATACCTCCAGTCCATCACGAATCAAGGAATCAGCAAAAAGGTTCGTACACACGGAGGGGACATACGCAATAACACAGACTCACAAACCCGCACCCATTGGCCCAGAAATGGGATAGCCACACCATCACCCAGAGCGTCCCGAGATCCATGGACCAAACATCACACACTGCCCAACCACTCTAAAGCCCAGACCCAAAACACTGTCTTCATCAGACATGCGCACCGAGGAAACAAGGTCACTCCAGAACCATTAGACACAGCACTACACACAGGCCGCAGGAATGCAGAACTCCCAAACACCGGGATACGGGGCAACACAACCCCAAGCCTACGAAAACGCACATGGAACCAGGGAACACAAGTGCTCCACAAAATGTAGAGGACACACACGCCACGAACGCACAAACGACCCTCCCCACACCCCCAATATGAGCGACCGAGAGGCCACCACAAGAGAGGACCATAGAGACTCGAAAGCCCGCACCGTGACCCGCCATCACACTACCAGACGTAAACACGCAAAGCAAAGTGTTGCCAACACCCTTCATATATAATAGGGAGCGGCTCTATCCCAACAAAAATCACAAGAACAACTAATTGGGGTAACCCCACCTGCCCAAACCCAGCAGTTCACACCACCTGACCACCAACTCATAACTACAGGCCAAACAAAGGAATACACACTGACCGCAAATAGACAGGCTGCGAAGGGGGAACAACTCACTGGGTGTTATAAACCACTACTAAATACCCTCATGTTACGTGTTCAACACCCAATTCACCTAGAAACCTGCGAGTCTCTTATTGAGCTGTTACCCAGGAGATCTACGCATCTTGATTGACCTATTGCCATAATGCTCTCTCGAAAACTACGGGTTTTTCAGAAAAGAAAACCTAGGGGGCTTAGCATCTGGGCCGATCCACCGAGCCGCAGTGGTCTAGCTGACTAAGGTTCCTCTTTACGGTCACTCTACAATGGAGGGAGGAGGCGGTAATTGAGTCAGCCTACACAGTTAGTAGGGTTTTCCCCATAGAGCACATAGCATACATGTTCCATAGCCTATCGTTCCACTATATTTATACTGTGTAAGCCTTGCTTCTTGATTTTTAGTTATATGCTCTGCCGACACACTTGTCAGCTAAGGTACATCAATGTATGGAATTACTTGATATTCCTCACAAAGAATCCTGTTAACTTGAACTCAACGATGAGACAGTCAGCTCGAGAGTTACTATGTCATATATGAAACTGTGTAAGATACGATTGCATTAACTAAACCTTTCCTTTCTTTAATGAATCAAAAAACGTCTCAATCGCATAAAGATTTATAACAAATCTCACATTCCCTATGCAAGAGCGACCGACAGGCCCACACACGAGAAGACTTAGGAGACTTGATCCCAGCAACCTCGACATAGATACAAGACCACCTCGCAGCGGCCACCCAGGCCACGACCTGACCCTACACTACCCGACAGACAAACTACACAAAGCGAAGAGACGACAGTATCCTCCACTGCCACGCTGACATGGTCTCGACCTGACAACACTGACAAGTATACTAACACGAGACGGACCACTGTGCCCACACCTAACTGTCCACACCACTTGAACACCAACATATAACTGCAGGCCCCACTAGGGGACCACACAGCGACTGCAAACAGGAAGACCTGATCAGTTAAGCGACCTACCCATTCTTCTATATCAAAATAAAATGTTTTCATGTTCTCATGTTATTGGCTAGCCAATCAGGCTGTTCGGAGACCTGTGTGTCTCATACTGTTATTTTATTATACTATTCTGTTAGAGATCTGCGCATCTCGAATGTCCAATTATTGTACAGTACTATGGAAACCTGCGTGTTTCTGCCTATCTTACTCAATATGGAATAGTTGACAAACTTTCAATAAAAAGAGATTTAAAAAAAAAAATATATATATATATTGCAAAGCTACTTACTACATCTAGCATGATCTGCTGACTCACCGGTGAAATAAAATTTGTGTTAAGGGCTCATGATAGTACAGAAGATACAAACACTGATAAGTATGGAATAGTGTGAAAGAGCAAGTCGGTTGTGGTGTGCCGGAACCGACGATGAGGTAGGCCTGTAAATAAAGAGGGCCCACCAATAAGAAATGTATGAGAAAAAGGAGTTAATAAAAGAGGAGTGGGTGGGAGGGTGATGCAGCGCTGACCTCGAACGGTATGGAGCCAGGTAAGGGGTGTCCCTTAAGTAGGGAGAAGGTGAGTCATACGCCCCTCCCACAATTACAGGCCAAAGGCCTTAATACTTGTGTTAAGGGCTCATGATAGTACAGAAGATACAAACACTGATAAGTATGGAATAGTGTGAAAGAGCAAGTCGGTTGTGGTGTGCCGGAACCGACGATGAGGTAGGCCTGTAAATAAAGAGGGCAAAAAGTAGAAAATATACTTTATTACGAAACGAGCAGTATACATACTTCAACCAGACATATCTTGAAAGGCATTTCTAACTTCTTGTACCGGGTTAGGTATGTATCTAGAGTATGCAGAAGACTTCCAGCGCCCTAGTGACTTGATAACATGTACTGGAATGTTTGCACTGGACGCTGTGGAGGCCGCCCCTATGCGGAAGGAGTGGCCCGAATAGTTAGCTGATTTTAGGCCTAGTTGTGTAAGTAGGGACCTGACGTGGGTCATGAAGGTGGTGGTAGTGAGTACCGAACCTTGTAGACAGAAAAGTGGTTGAGATGGTGATGCTTTGAAATGCTGAGTATAGGTGTCCAGTAATGTGACGGGGCACCACACGTTGTGGGTAGGATAGTATCTAACCTCTACCGGGGGTGCGTGTTGATTGGTTTTGGAGTGATGCAGAGTTAAAATATAGTAATCCATGTGTTTCGTTAAGTGTGAATGAAGCAGAATGTGAGTGGACTGGGATGTGTTGATGGCGGTAAATTCTCTTGGTCTCAAGAAACCATAAAAAGCTACGTATATGGCGGTTTTTATAACAAGGTTTGTGTTGTTCGCAAAGGGTTTTGAATCTAGTAGGCTGGATAAATCCTTGAAGATATTGAAGTCTATAGGTAGCCTTTGCGCGGTACGTGGGGGTTCGGATCTCTGGATACCTCTAAGGATGTTTTTTATCTGGTAGGAGGACATGAAACTTGTGTTGTTTGGTTGTAATGTTAGCATGTGATGTTGTATGCCTGTTAGATATAGCTTGATTGTGTTGTAAGATAATTTAAGTTTGAGGTGGCAAAAAGAAGCAAAACCTAACAAAGATGTCATGATGAAAGGTTGTGTGACGTTGTGCAGTGACAGGAATCTTTTAAATAGAAGGAAAGCCCTGTCATATGTTCTCCGGGTATTGGTGGACAGTGCTAATTGTGCCAATGTCCTGCTATGTTGCATAATAGCTTCTAGTCCATGACTAGCTGGTGGAAAGGTGGAGTGGTCGTGGCTGTA